AGAAAATAGAGTTTGCACACGTAATCCAAAGTGATATGACTGTGTCAGAATATGTTCGAAAGTTCCTAGAGTTGGGCCGGTATTCCCCTGAGAGCATGATAGATGAAGGCAGAAAGGTAAGAAAGTTCGAGTGGGACCTCCATCTTGAGATTAGACAGCAGTTATATGTGTTCGAGCTTAGTACTTTCTCAGGCATTCTGGCCCAAGCACAACTAATGGAGAGAAACCTTCGCATCTTTCTTCCAGTAGTAGGGAACCTCAGACCCTCAGTTTTACACTGCAGAACAACACCCACTGCACCTGTTCAGCAGAACAAGAGATCTAGGCCAGTGACTCAGGCTCCTCCTCAGATTTTGGCAACAGGACGTGGTAGGACTTGCCAGCACTGTGGCAAGGATCATGGGGATCGACCCTGCTATCGCCTCAACAATATTTGCCATATATGTGGGAGTGTCCAACATTATGTGAGAGATTGCCCGAGAAATTAGAATCAGGCCAAACCTCTTATCCACGGCAGGGCTTACAACCTCACTCAGCAAGATACAGAAACTAATCCACACGTGATACAGGTACACACTATCTGTAACTATCTTACACATGTTTTGATTGATACTGGTGTCTCACATTCATTTGTTTCACATGTTTTTACACCAAACTTAAATGTATTACCTGAAAAATTTGATTCTCTGTTGTTTGTGTCTACTACTGGGAATATGACACTACTGGGGGAGGTTATATACAGACTCTGTATCATAAATATAGCAGATAGGAAATTGAGTGTGAACCTAATGAAGATTAACACAGGGGACTTTGATATAATCTTATGAATGAACTGACTCGTAAATTGTTTTTACAAGAAACTAGTATTCAACCATTCTAATAAAAAGTCATTTACAAATTAATAAAATTCTTTAAACATTATTCCCTTATGTCAATTTTCCTATTACCAAGTGCTTTAATTTTGTTGTTTTCTCTAATTAAGCGAAGCTAAGAAAGAAATTTGTATTCGGGAGATTTCGGTAGCTTGAGACTTCTTGGATATATTCCCGGATGAACTACTCGAACTGTCAGTGGACAGAAAAGTTGAATTCACCTTAGATCTTCAGCCAGGCACCTAACCTATTTTTGTTGCCCCTTACCGCATGAGTCGTATTGAAATGGAGGAGTTGAGAAAACAGATCAATGAATTGTAGGATAGTGGATTCATCCAACATAATGTGTCTCCTTGGGGTGCTGGAGTCATATTTGTAAGGAATGGGGATGCGACATTAAGATTATGTATTGACTACAGATGACTGAACAAGGTCACAATCAAGAACAAATACCTCCTCCCAAGGATCGATGACCTTTTTGATCAGTTACAGGGTGCCCTCATATCAATTTTCCTATTACCAAGTGCATTAATTTGGCTGTTTTCTCTAACTAAGCAAAGATAAGAAAGAAATTTGTATTCAAGAGATTCAGGTAGTTCGAGACTTCTCAGATGTATTTCTGGATGAACTACTTGAACTGCCAGTGAACAGAGAAGTTGAATTTACCTTAGATCTTCAGCTAGAAACCCAACCTATTTCGGTTGCCCCTTACCACATAAGTCGTGTTGAGATAGAGGAGCTGAGAAAACAGATCAATTAATTGTAGGATAGTAGATTCATCCAACATAATGTGTCCCATTGGGGTGCTGGAGTCACATTTGTAAGGAATGAGGATGTGACGTTAAGATTATGTATTGATTACAGAGGACTGAACAAGGTCACGATCAAGAACAAGTATCTCTCCCAATGATCGATGACCTTTTTTATCAGTTACAGAGTACCCAGGTTTTCTCCAAAATAGACCTGTGTTCAGTTTACCATCAAGTAAAGATCAAGACAGCTGACATTCCTAAAACAGATTTCCTAACTAGGTACGGACACTATGAGTTCCTGGTCATGCCATTTGAACTAACCAACGCACTAGCCATCTTCATGAATTTGATGAACACAGATAATTTTTGAATCAATTCATCATTGTATTTATCGATGATATCCTGATCTATTTAAAAAGTAGAGATGAATATACTCACCATCTAACTTAGATTTTGTAGGTTTTAAGAGAAAATAAGTTGTATGCAAAGATGAGTAAGTGTAAGTTTTACCTCGAGCAGACTACCTTCCTAGGGCACATCATATCAAGGGATGAAGTGTCAGTGAACCCCAAAAAAGTTAAATCAGTGCTCGGTTGGAAGAAATTGACCTCAGCCAAAGAGATTCGTAGCTTTCTGGGGATGACAGGTTATTACCGCAGGTTTGTGAAATGATTTTCTAGTCTAGCTGCTCTTTTAACTCGGTTTACGAAAAAGAACGTCAAGTTTGAGTGGAACAAAAACTGTGAAATAAGATTTACAGAACTAAAGAAGCGGTTGACTACTGCACTTGTGTTAGCCTTACCGAGCGAGACAAATAGATATATAGTTTATAGTGATGCCTCCTACCTAGAGTTGGGTTGTGTTTTAATACAACATGGGAATGTCATAACTTATGTGTCCAAACAGTCGAAGAGTCATGAGAAAAACTACCCCACCCATGACTTAAAACTTGTCGCGATTATCCACGCTATAAAGGCTTGGTGTCATTACTTGTATGGGGAGACTTTTTAAATTTATACTGACCATAAGAGCTTGAAACACATATTCATTCAAAAGAATCTCAACATGCGTCAGAGAAAATGGATAGAACTCCTTAAGTACTACGATTACAATATCTTGTATTACCCGGATAAGGACGACATGAGATTGGAAATACAAACACTTGGGTCATTCGATCACGGAGCATGCAGATCGCCCGCGTGGCATCCCACATGGCATCGACATCAGCATGTCTTGTCACGCGGTGTGTTCCTGTTCATCGGGGTTGTTGACTGAGCGGTCATACGTGGCATAATTTTTTTTTATTTGAACTCTGATTTCTAATTTTTAATTTTTCTTTCAAAAACATCATTCGAACTCAAATTTTCACATTTTTTTTATAAAATTATTTTTAATTTCATCTTTCACTTATTTTTTTCTATAAATTCAATAAAAATTAAAATAAATTAATTTAAAAATAATTTTTTTATATATTTAAAATATTAAAATTGATTCCGAACTAAATTGTAGATTCGGATATTACAATTTCAACTAGCGAATGCAACTAAAGAATCATTAGGTCTGGAAGAAAATAAGACAGTAACACTAACAACAGGGGTAATGAAACCAAGGTAGAGATACATAAAAAGGGGCAGGATTCCATTTCTTTGACCCTATACATAAAAATTCCCATGATAAAGCAGGCATAATCATCTTTTTATCGCGATATAAAGCACATAAAATGCATAAAAATGAAAGTTTATCAACAGAACAATTTTAATCTTACGTTTTCGCTTGACTTTCTTTTGGAAAATTCCTCATGGGGATTTGTCCACGTTGAAGAATTCATTGATTCACTGCTCCTGCTACTCAGAAAGATAGAAAGAGATTATTCAGCAAAGATAATTCCTGATCAGGATTCCTCAAGGTGGGCTCAGGTGCGCGCACAGAGAGAGAGAGAAACAGAGAACTGAAGATGGGATTCAATGTCGGTGGAAAAACACAGAACAGAAAATAAAAAGAAAAAGAAAAGCAACCAAATTCCAGAAAACTGAAAAACCAAATTTAAAGAGCCAAAAAAGTAGAAACAAAGAAACTGAGAGATCAGAGGAAAGAAAGAACGGCAAAGGGATTTCGTGAAAAGATCCTCTTTTTGATCGCACAGGAAGCATGATTCGAGAGATTAGACAAAGAACTAACCTTGTTGAGAGAGACAGAGAACTGGCAAAAGGTTTGTCTTTGATTGTTGATCGACTCTGAGTTCAGTTCGAGAGAGAGAGAGAAGAAACAGAGAACTGAAGGGGTTCTTTAAAATCTCAATTTCGGCGTAGTGAGGGATATAGCCGTTGGAAATTCGGGTCGGGTCATAGAAAACGGGCCGAAACCAAATTGGGTTTTGGGCTCCTACGATATAATATTTTAACTTTACTTCTTCTTATTTAAATATATGATAAATTTGAATAGAATTTGTAATTTACGTGTGCCAAGATTACAATTGTAATTCCTTCTACTATTTAGATGTAACATGAAATTTGATTATAACTTATAATTTACAATTTTTGCATGTCAATATTATAGTTAGGTAAAAGTAATTAATTTTGATCATTATATATTTTTTTTAAAAAAAATAATACTTATTTAAATTAAAAGTTATATTATTTTTTTAATTTAAAATTATATTAAAATTAAAATATAATTTTACGTTAATATTAGAATTAATTAAATTCTAAATTATTTAATAAATAATTTTATTAAAATTCCCATGTTTTGGAATAAAAATCTAGATTTTTTAAAATAATAATAATATTATTATTATTATTATATAAATAAAAAATAAAAAATTTATATTATTTTTTCAATTTTAGATTATATTAAAATTAAAATTACATTAAAATTAAAATTAATTAAAATCTAGATTTATAATAATAACAATAATAATTAGGCGTGACAGTTAAAAACAGGCGGGCAACGGGGAACAAAAATTGGAAGGCTCTAATTCTGTGTGTCTCCTCAGCTTTCTCACACTCCCGGAAAACTAGCCAATTTTTATTACCATCTTTCCCAAAAATTTCAACCCAAAAAAGAAGAAAAATTTTCTATTCATGGCTGATTCAACTTCCTCATTTTCTTCAATCATTTCTCCTTCTTCCCATTTGGTTTCCTGCATTTTCTACTCTTGAAGAGAAAGCAAAACCCATTTCAGACTTCTCCTTTCTCATTTGATTTCCTCATCATCACGGCAAGATGTCCCAAAATCTTGTGGGGCTCTTGTTTGTTTCTCTTTGGATCCTCACCCGTTTCGTCCATTCATCCACTGATAAAAATGATGGTTAGTGCAACCCATGTGTATATATATACATATATATATGCACCTGTTTATGTATATACGTTTTTTGGAATACCAACTGTTTGATGTATGGATATTACCTTATATAATGTTTGACAAGTGAATCTGGCATGCAAAGTCTAGGTCTTTTCTTAGTTCTCATATACCAATTAAAGATTGACTGGTTATTGATGAGGAAGGAAATTAACACCTTATAGAATGTAAATAAAAAGTTTTGACCTCTAATGAAATCTTGATCTTCATTGATTCTCTCTGGAAAATCTCAAGTGGAAGGGGACATTCGTATGCAATTTTGTGAGTATTCTGCTGCAAATATTGGAATTTCCTTCACATTTTTGTTTGAGGAAAGCTTAGAGACCCAAATCGAAATTTCTCGTAACTAAATTTCCATCAAACACCTTGTTTGTTTCATTGCTTTCCACAATTATACAGATTTCTTTGGCAGACTAATATTTGTTCATTGGATTTCGTAGTTTCAGCCCTCAATGTGATGTACACGAACTTAAATTCTCCTTCCAAATTGAATGGCTGGAAATCAAGCGGCGGGGATCCTTGCGGTGAAGGCTGGGATGGTATCAAGTGCAGAGGCTCATCTGTAATAGAAATGTAAAACTTCCTTTTCTGGAGAAAAGAAATTACCATTTCATGTTTAAGAGGGTAGCTTGTCAATTTTTTGAAGAAATACCTTCCTATTAAATCTTTTTTTTTCTTTTTGCAGAAAATTATCCGACCTTGAACTCAGTGGTTCATTGGGTTACCAGCTATCTAACTTGAAATCTGTCACTACCTTGTGAGACCTCACTTCTTAAGTAAACCTATGTTTAGGTGCTATATATTTTTCCAATATGCTAAAAGAACCTAACCCGAAGGCATTTCATTTGTTTGATAGCACAGTGACATGAGCAGGAACAACCTCAACAATAACATACCATACCAACTTCCTCCCAATGTAGTTAATTTGTAAGTGAAGAGATAAGTATCTGTCATATTGTCATTGTTTAAATTCATAAAAAGAATTGGTCTATGTTTGGAACGGAATCAAAAATTTTGATAGGACCATTGGTTAATCCAAACATAATTCAACTAAAAGATAATGAACATTCTACTTCTATGGAGTTTCTACGTGGAATTTGACTAATACATCTACCATGAACTTTACTCCTGGACAGCTAACAGCTTATTATCATGCTTTTTTGCAGACGCTTTTCTATACTTGCAATACTAATAATATAAACTTGATATGCAGAGATCTTTCTGAAAATGACTTCAGCGGTACTGTGCCTTTTTCAATATCCCAATTACATAGCTTGAAGTCCTTGTAAGAAACAAAATTAATTCTTATTTAGTGTAACCTTTTATTGATTTAACCTACTTCCGTAATAATTCATCTTCATGCAGAAATCTTGGTCATAACCAGCTTAATGGAGAATTGAATGACATGTTTCAAAAGCTTTCAAAGCTCAATATGCTGTAAGTATTGTTTACAGGGCAAAGGTTTTCTCCTTCTTTCCCTCCCAATCTATCAATTTATCTAATTTTCTCGATATTCTTGATAGATCAGCAAGAGATGCCTCTAGAAATGAAGATTGAACTATTTACTAACAGATCAGCTGATCTGCAGGGATTTATCCTTTAACCAACTGTCAGGAAAACTTCCTCAGAGTTTTGCAAATCTCTCAAGCCTCAAAACATTGTAAGTAGTGAAAAAAATATATATTTATCTTCTTTCCACTACTTGCCTTAACGCTTCCATTTCTTTTCACAGGCGTCTCCAGGAAAATAAATTCACTGGTCCAATAAATGTCCTAACTGACCTACCTCTTGACGTACTGTAAGTAAAGCAGCAGCACAAGTACCCAGATTTAAGTGTAGAAACCTTGACACATTTCTTTGCTGCTCTGGCTTGCCTTATATCTTTTGATGCATGTAGCACTGCCCAAATGAATTTAAGCATCATAGAGTGTTTTTTTTTTTTCAATTTTCATTTTTTTGTGGCTTCAATGTGTTCAGATACTTATAGAATGCCGTATAGGCAAGTTTTAGTTATTTCTTTTAGTGGTCTATAAGACTTGTTGCTTAAAGTAATTGAAACAACCTTCCGTCTTCCATTATGCTTCTTATCAATGCTCATATTGACTTGTTGATGTGGGTTAATTATCTAGAAATTTTACTTATCTACAACTGAAATTGTTCTACTCCGAAGCCATTAAAATCTATACATTCTTAAAAATTTTATTGGATCTTGCCGGCAGGAATGTTGAAAACAATAAGTTCACTGGCTGGATACCAAATGAGTTGCAGGATATTGAAGATATATCGTGAGTATCCTATTAAACTATGTGCTATTATGAGAAATATTCTTAGGTGTTAGTTTCTCTGATTTTACATTATATTTTCCTGAAGAACTGGAGGAAATGATTGGTCAGCCGGGCCAGCTCCCCCTCCTCCCCCAGGAGTCCACCATGAACGTAAAACCTCTGGGGATAAAGATAGTGGCGGAAACAAATCTGCAGTTCGTGCAGCAGTTATAGCATTAATTTGTCTTGGAGTGTTGCTGTTTCTTGCACTTCTTATTGGTCTATTTTCCAAAAAAAGGTCAACTCCATCCTCTCATTTTATTGATGAAGAGAAGGGCAGTCAGCGCGGCCGTGGGGCATTCACCGCACTTTCAGCCAATGATTCATCCAATGAATTACGTTTCGATCTATGTGAGGCTTACTTAGCTGTTTGCATTGCACTAAAATTATCAATAAAGTTTCAGACTTCATGCTTTTTGAATGAGACTACAGTCACAGTCTTCAAAATTTGCATAGACCCTTAAGATACTTA